AGGATGCAGCTCATACGCCGCTCCGCATGACAGAATGCCAATATTACAGCACAGCAGAGCAGACGGCGAGAGCTGTTCCTCATATATGCAGAGCGTCCAGAGACTCCACGGCCTGTCAAGACCAGCACTTCTCTTATTTCTCTGTTTGACTGAGCTTAAGCAGCGACGGGTCACTTCTGAATACAAACCACCTTCATCATCATCATCATCATCATCATCATCATCATCATCATCATCATCTGCAGTCACTCGCTGACTGGAAAACACAAACTACAGCAACATTATACAGACACCAGAACTAAACACACACAAGCATATTAACTACACTGCAACACACATCCATAATTCAGCAGTTTCCATATTCTGAGATTCATGTCATTTAGTTAATGTTGATTTCTGCTGGTGAGTTGCATTATGGGATAGTGATCTTACTTTCAGCAGCTTTTAACCTATACAATTGTGTAAAAGTGTGTGTTCTGCACATGTGTAATAGTGTGCAGTGCTGTACTGTGTGTGTTGGTGTTGTATATTACACAACAGTAAAGCCTTTTAATAATTTGCAGCACATTTACTGCTATTCTACACTCTTATTCCTCTACAGATTGTCTCTGATATTATCTCAAACCACTAAAATGTCAATAAAAATCACTTTATTAAACTGTAGAGCTGAGTTTACATCATCAGAAGTGGACTGAGCAGAGATCAACATCCCATAATGCAGTTCACCACCGCTAATAAACAAAAACTTTATCACAAAAATACAGAAACTGCTTATTTACAGATATTCTACAGTGCATCTGGACAAGAATAAAGACAAACGCAAGTGATAAAAAAAATAAAATAAATAAAAATATATATAAATATATATATATATATATATATATATATATATATATATATATATATATATATATATATATATATATATATATATACATACATATATATATATATATATATATAAATATATATATATACATATATATATATATATATATATATATACATACATATATATATATACATACATACATATATACATATATATATATACACACACACACACACACACACACACACACACACACACACATATATATAGATATATAGTTATATCTATACAGTATATATCTATATATACATACATAATATATATATATATATATATATATATATATATATATATATATATATATATATATATATATATATATATATGGGTACCCCCAGGACCCTCCAAATGAAATTCAATGCCAACTTCGCACCCATTCCGACAGAAGTGTATCTGTATAAATTTTGAACCCTAGAAATTAATTATGTACAAGTGGGCTACTTAAATGAACTAAAACATCTCATTTCAATGATCAGCCATATTTAATACATACGCAACAACGTGGTCGTCCACCCAGTAGCAAATTTAAAGCTCCAACTGCTTACTTTCCATCATCTTATTGAGACTCTCGTCAAACAGGACCACAAACCCGTTGGCCTTATTGGCCTGGTCAGTCAGTTCTTTAGTAATAAAAGGAGCCGATCCGAATTTAGTAATAGATTCAGTTTTGTTGCTTCCACACGAGAATGAAGCTGCAACCTCGGAGTCAGGAAACCTCTGTAATGTTCTCATTGGATGTGTAAGAGTGGTGCTTAGAGATTGTTTTAATCCCGCAGAGTTGGTGTTGAGCCACAGTAAGACAGGATGTTACTTGGCCGTGGTAGCGATGCTTCTAAAGTGGAAATGTCTTCATTACTGACAGCCAAAGCTGTTTCAGTAAGCGGACACGTCTCTGGTGCACAGCACTGCACAATAGGTGGTTGGTGCTGACGAGCAGTACTACACCCGGTGTGTTTGGCACCCCTCATATGGGAGTCCAGAGTCTTAACACCCATCGTCGCTAGCTTAAAAGATTTCCGGCAACAACAGCAGTAGGTGTCATGGTCATTTCCTGGCTCAGGCTTGACCTAAACGTAATTCAGATTTCCATTTTAGCCTTCAAACTAGGCTAGCGACTATCTTGTTCTGTACATCACTTGCCTAGTAACCAAAGTAACAGGTGCGCACGCTATCGCGTTTTCTACTATGACGTGGAGCGCGAGGTGCACTCAACATTACGCTGCATGAATTGTTAATTAGCCTACATTCGTAACAGCTCATTTCGTTACGGTATGAACAGACTCTTAGGAAAGGAAAAAATAAATGAATAAAATAAGACCTTTGTGCAGGCGACGCGGTGGAGCAGTAGGTAGTGCTGTCGCCTCACAGCAAGAAGGTTGCTAGTTTGAGCCTCTGCTTGGTCAGTTGGCGTTTCTGTGTGGAGTTTGCATGTTCACTTGGGTTTCCTCCGGGTGCTCCGGTCGATGATATCTGGATGCAGGCTTTACGATTGCATCACTCAGCGATGCAGTGTCAGACACAATGCAGTCAATGGAGTGAGTGACGTCACTGTGACGGGTAGGGTTAGGTGAGCGCATTAAAAAGCATTGGATGCAGCTCAGATTGCACTGCACCAGGTCTGCAGCCAGACCCCTCTCGCTCCGGTTTCCCCCACAGTCCAAAGACATGCGCTATAGGGGAATTGGGTAGGCTAAATTGTCCATAGTGTATGTGTGTGAATGAGTGTTTCCCAAAGATGGGATGCAGCGGGAAGGGCATCCGCTACGTAAAACATATGCCGGATAAGTTGGCGGTTCATTCCGCTGTGGCGATCCCAGATTAATAAAGGGACTAAGCCAAAAAGAAAATGAATGAATGAATGAATGAATGAAGACCTTTTTAACAAAATCAAATACTTTGTACACCAAATTCAAGGCTATTAAGGCCTTAATTTGAGATGATTAAAGTTAAGACTTTTTCAACGCTTTTAATACGCAGCAGGTACTCTGATGACAGGAAATACTGTGGAAAAAGTATTCTTGCTCCGTTACACATCACATGGGAACAATTTTAAAAGAGAATAAAAGAAAATAAACAGGAGGGTGAATAATTTTACCTTCATCTGTCCATCATCATCATCATCATCATCTTCAATAATTCTGCGTATATAATAATCTGAAATGAAATCATTGGCGAGGCACGTCCTGATACAGCTCGTTCCTTTAATAATATTCAGATACTGTTGCAGAGTAAAAAATACTTGTGATTAAAAAATCTGTTAGAACAATGAATCAACGGAAACATTCCCCAAAATCTTCAGGCTACAAAGCAAAATAATAAAATATACATATTTATATATACGCAGAAGAGTCCGGCGCGCGTGATGGAGTGATAAATACTGATGGAGAGAATAATGTGTTTATTACTGTAGTGCTATCATTAGGGTTAATCATTAGAGTCTGTGTGGAGGATTACTCCTGCAGGAGAGGACAGAAACACGTCCTGCAGATTACGCGATCGCTTTGGCTTCAGGTAAGAACGCCTCCCAGTATTTGATGAGCTGGAAAACAAAACAAACCAAAAACACAACTTCAGCATCATTCAAATGATTCCTTTTATTTACCTTTTAATAATGGTTTATTAACCTTTTATTAACTTTCTAAAATTAAAAGGTGGCTACATTACTATTTATAATGGGTTTGAATTATTATTATCATTATTATTAGATTGTTATTTCTAAAACATTAACTATTCTAAGCTGCTATTTGTTTATTGTAATAATAGACAAATATTAAATGTTATTAATTTAAAATGTTTTTAAAATATTTTTCCTAGTGTCATTGTAATTTTTATTTGAGTTTGAATTATTATTATTATTATCACTATTATTATTGTTAAGAGATTGGCTGATTCTAATTAACATGACTGCCACAAACTGATATCTGTCCTCTGATTAGCTGATGCTGTCAGTGATAGACTGATATCTGTCCTCTGATTGGCTGATGCTGTCAGTGATAGACTGATATCTGTCCTCTGATTGGCTGATGCTGTCAGTGATAGACTGATATCTGTCCTCTGATTGACTGATGCTGTCAGTGATATTCTGATATCTGTCTTCTGATTGGCTGATGTTGTCAGTGACAGACTGATATCTGTCCTCTGATTGGCTAATGCTGTCAATGATAGACTGATATCTGTCCTCTGATTGGCTGATGCTGTCAGTGATATTCTGATATCTGTCCTCTGATTGGCTGATGCTGTCAGTGACAGACTGATATTTGTCCTCTGATTGGCTGATGCTGTCAGTGACAGACTGATATCTGTCCTCTGATTGGCTGATGCTGTCAATGATAGACTGATATCTGTCCTCTGATTGACTGATGCTGTCAGTGATATTCTGATATCTGTCTTCTGATTGGCTGATGCAGTGCCTAACTGATATCGGTCTACTGATTTACTATCATCTTGTCTCTGATTAGCTGATGCTGTAAGTGATGGACTGATATCTATCTACTGATTGGCTAATGTTGTTAGCGATAGACTGATATCTGTCCTCTGATTGGCTGATGCTGTGATAAACTGATATCTGTCCTCTGATTGACTGATGCTGTCAATGACTAACTTATATGTCTACTGATTAACTGATATCTGTCCTCTGATGCTGTCAGTGATAAACTGATATCTGTCCTCTGATTGGCTGTTGCTGTCAGTGATAGACTGATATCTGACTACCGAATCACTGACATCTGGTCTCTGATTGGCTGATGCTGTAAGTGATGGACTGATATCTGTCCTCTGATTGGCTGATGGTGTTGATGAACACACACACCTGCTGTTGTGTGTGAACGAGGGACTCCAGATATTTGACGACGACGATTCTGAAATCCTTCACTCGGTCTTTCTGTGGACAGAAGAGGACAGAAGAGCTCAGAGAAGCAGCGGTATATACAGCGTTATATTCCAGTGGTGTGGAAAACACACGCCGTCTGATCTCACCTCGAACCGGCCCACTTCTCGACGGATGTTTTTGGAGATCTGCTCGAAATCTCTCTCGCCCTGCTGGACTTTACCCTCCCACTAAACACACACAGAGACAGACAGACAGACAGACGGAGAGCAGAGTCAGTTTGTCTGCAGCAGAATAGTGGTGATCATGGCCATGTCCACACTAATAGGTTTTCCTTCAGAAATGCATATTCTCTCTTCGTTTATTCCTCCGTCCACAGTGAGACGCCGTCTTTAGGGAACAAAAACGCATCTTTCTGAAAACGCTGTCTAAGGTGTACACATCTGGAATGCTGTTTTGGTGTGGACTGTGTTGAGCCTGTAGATCAGGGGTGTCCAAACTCAGTCCTGGAGGGCCGGTGTCCTGCATAGTTTAGCTCCAACTTCCTTCAACACACCCCCTGGAAGTTTGGTATATCAGAAAGAGCTTGATTAGCTAGTTCAGGTGTGTTCAATTGGCGTCAGAACTCAAATATGCAGGACACCGGCCCTCCAGGACTGAATTTGGACACACCTAATGTGGACTGTGGCTTTGAAAACGATGATCATTTCAGTCATGTGACACAGTCAGGTGACCAATTGAGCTAACATGCTGGAGGACATAGGGTCACAGATGTTTTGCAGCTTTATTAAAGATGTCAGTGTGTAGATGCTCCATATGGCCTCTCTTCAGCGCACAGGGAATGTGTGACCGTGGTCTGATCTGAACAACAGCTCCAGTAAACCGTTTCAGAGAGATGGAAAGTAAATAAACTGAGGTGGATATGAGCAGATAAAAGTGCCTGTGTGCTGCACGGTACATCAACAAGAGCGCTTTCAGTCCTTTAGTGTGGATGACGGAGAGAAGTGGAAACCATAGTGTTGACATGGATCTCTTTAAGACCATAACACAGTTTCAGATGTATCTGCATTAGTGTAGACGAGCCTTGATGATCAGTGTATGATCAGTGGAGTGAAGACGCTCTACTGTCATCTACCTGCATCATGATCAGTGGTGAATAGAGGACTGAACAGTCAAGTTAAACTAACATCACTTGACAGTGTAGTACGAGTAGAGGAAAAGTACTAAAAGTAGCCCTTTTAAAAGTAGTGATGAAGTGAATATTATTCCACACTGCAAGCAATGCCTTTCCTACTTGTAGGTCTTGTTTCTGCAGCGCGAGGATAAAGAATGAGCCTCATCCATTCAGCCTCTTTACTTCTTTACTTTCATAGATATATACACTAGATATCGCATAGGGACCCTGAGCATGAGTCAGTAGCGCCGCCATATTTGTACAGGGCTCCCAGGACAAGTGTCATTCAACCGCACAAGTCAAGACAGTGTTACTATGTAAAGATGCTGGACTTTAGCGCTATTAACGGGTGTAGTAATGAGCAAACAAAGAAAACAAAGCACAAAGGCAGAACATTTCATAGGTAAGGTTTAGATTTTTTTATGTGTTTGTATGTTCTGAACTTTTGTGCTAAACAGGTAACATTATTGATGATAACAGTCACTTACTGCATTCACCATAAGCCAAAGTAGCACCAACTCACACTAAACACTCGGCTTATGCTAGTTTTGTTAAATAAAATCAGCAAACAATGCAAAAGAAATATGACGAGATGCTGCGCTGCCAGAAACTTGCATTATTGTCGGCTAGTGAACGAGTCACTCATAACGGAGATTCATTCACAAACGAATCGCTCCCTCCGTCAGTATGAGGAGTGAAAGCAGGAGAGGAGTTTCAGGACACGATTAGATCAAATTTAACAGGGAGGGTGAATAGTACATTTCTGTACACACAAACACAAGCTTTTTGTCAGGAATGCCCGTGCGATCACTGATCCATCAATGTAGAAAAGTGATGTATGGGTATATGTGTGTATCTCTGGCTCTGGGTGGCCACAGTCCTCCACTGCAGCTTGGTCCTGCATTCGTTTCAAAGGAGCGCTACCCTGTACTAAAATGGCGGCTCTATTGACGCTTTCTTCCAATTGACGACAACAACGGTAAAGTCTAGATCGGATATGCAGCCGGCCGGAAGTGCGATATGCACATTAATAAAGCAGCATTTTTTAATGACACTGTATAACAATAATGAATATTTTTACAGTACTGTGACGGTTGGGTTTAGGGTTGGGTTGGGGGTAGTCGTTAAAAAATACCTTTTATTGGGTAATTTAATAGATAACATAACTAATAATCGGTACAACAACTGTTTTTACATTATTGTGATGGTTGGGTTTAGGGTTGGGGTGGGGGTAGTCGTTAAAAAATACCTTTTATTGGGTAATTTAATAGATAACATAACTAATAATCGGTACAACAACTGTTTTTACATTACTGTGACGGTTGGGTTTAGGGTTGGGGTGGGGGTAGACGTTAATAAAATACAACAAATGAGAAATTTAATAAATAATAGAAATAATTCTCGTTAACTTCCGGCCGCAAACGTATCCGCTCTAGCAACAACAGACAACAACAGGGTAGGCGACATCTAATGTATATATCTATGCTTTACTTTGGTGGAGTGAGGAAACAGTGGAAACTCACTCCACTGAACACATCCATTAGCCCACATATATTTAATTTCCTTTGTTAAGCTTAAAGATTTGTGTGTAAACTATGTCTAAATTCAGCTCTAATCTCCAGCAGAGGAATAAATGAACAATAATAATGAAGTGTGCTCAGAAAACGGAGTGATATCTAAACACACGTCCTGTTCTTATCCTCATATGCTGATGCAGACGTCTCCAAAACCCCACAGCTGGACACATCTACACTTGTGTTTATTATAAATGTGCAGATAATCAATAATACTGATCATAATAATCTCATTATACAGATGCAGATGCTCATCAATAAACTGAAGAAGGCATGGAGGCTGTGCTGTTTATATTGATGGAGGAAATCCTCATTTCTGGATCATTTTAATCCTTTAATTGTTCATCTGTAATGTATCATCCTGTGTGTATTCAGCTGTGTGTAAGTGTTTAAGACACATAACTAGGCCCACACGGAATCTGCGCACGCAGAATTTTGCAGATTTTCCACAGAATTCCGCAGATTTCTGCAGATTTTTAGCCTATCATTAATTCTGTTTATTTACTTGAGTAAATGTGTAAATCTGAATTTATTTTACACAGTTTTTATTCAGTAATTTATTACTTTTTATTTAATATATTAAGGTGTAAGTTATGATACTCCGCTGGATACTCCCAAAATTATTCCGCAGAAATCCACAGATTTTTACTAAAATTCTCCGCAGAAATAGCAAAAAACGTCCGCAGATTCCGTCTGGCCCTGCACATAACTAACACGCTCTGCTGGAGTTTAGAGCAGCTTTTAGTTGGTCAGTGGTGCTGTTGGTCTATTTCAGTTCTTCAGAATAGAGTAGAGGAACTATGACGTCAATTTGTAAGCAAAAACCCGGAAGCGAGTAGGCATTTTAGCACTTCCGGTTCCCTCGTCCCAAAGTCAATGGGTTTTTTGAATGGGGTTTCAGTAAAATCGCTTAAATAAGGTCTGTGG